ACATTAATGTGAACCCTTGACCTTTAGTAAGGGTTTGGCACATTGTAATGCACAAGGGGCAGATTCCTGGCCAAATTCCTTTCATGATAGCTTCGACTTCTGCACGATTTGCCAATGATTACCCGTCTCAAATGAATTCCGAAGCAAAAAATTGAAAACAAATCATCCATTATATCCACGGCTTTTGTAAAAATCCTTTTTTATTAAGGCGCTACTATAATTAAGGAGTAGTTTTGAAGTTAATAATGTAGAAGTCATGATATTCTATATATCGAATTGTACAAAGTGGAAGAAAAGAGTCTCTAAGAACATTTGAGATCATAAGAATGAGAATTGAAAACATACGTCAAATACTGATTTTTTTTTATTAAATCTGTTGATTACATAAATGAAAAAGCTTGTACAATATTTAATATTGCCAGAGTATGTTCAATGTTTAGATTTAAAGCTCTTAAAGCTTGCAACCGAATGTTTGCCGATTTCCAGTTTAAGCGAATATTTGCGAATGTTTGTTTGCGAATCGGAATGCCTATCTCTGTTTACGAACGTAGTGTGATTAACATAGCTTCAAAATTGTTTTCGCAGTATTACTAAAGTGATCCTAAAGTGTAATTAAAATTTCATTTCTTACTACTCTTAATAAACTGGACACTTCAGGTAGATTTTTTAATATAAGAGAAATTTTTCATAGTCCTCAAGTTTATCCAAAAGTTAAATAAAAATAAAACTTACATAACAAATATATTTTTTTTTTTGATGGATGGATGGATGTTTGTAACTGTTTATCACCAGGACGCCTTAATGGTATCTGTATCTGGGTGAAAATGTTAACGAAGGGAGATTACAGTCTAGAATAGCACATAGACTACCAATTTAGTTTTTCCTTTTACATTACACGGACAAAGACGCGGTCAACAGTTAGTATAAAATATACGATTAGTACTATACGATTTTTTTTTTCATTTTATCGTAGTAAAAAAGTAACATAGAGAATCTTTTTGAATGTCCTATTGCCGTATGCGCTTCGCGTAGTGCATTAGCTAAGGCTAAATAAATAACTTAGTATTTCAGCCACGTGCTTCCGTTTTCATTGCGAAAATACATCGAATTAAAATCGGTGAACTACGCGAATTATATTTGCTTAGTTTGGGTATTGTTCCAAATCGATTTTTCCAATATGTGTTGTGTGAATGCAAAGTTTTATTTGCTCCATCCTTGCTCCACTACCTATAGGTAGGCAGGCTAGAAGGCTACCTTTTAAAAGTCCATTTCTTATGTAAATGTACTTCCAAATCTTATAAGATCACCGGATAATTCCTTCATATTATAGCTAATACTTAGTATTGAAATATGAAAACAGAAATCGAAAAGCATCCTCATTGTTTCTAATAATGAAATATCGTATTAAAATATTAACAGAAAACGTCACGTCAATGGAATGGTTTACCAAGACATCATTGAAATCTTTATTTGTCTTTACGAATTTAATCTAATCTCTCGTCCTTACAGTACTTCAAAATGTATTCAAACGTTAGTAGCTAATTTGCGCTGTACAAGTAAACAATATTGGTGAAGCAGGATAAAAGTGAAGTAGCTACCGAGGTCCTGTGGCGTTTGACGTCAAGCTATAATATATGGTTATTATTAGGAACACAAACACGTGCGATCCCTTCTCACAACTATGAGGGTTTGCAATAAGTGAGTACAAATGTACAATGTTGTCGCCCATAATAAATATTATTGATTCACACCACTGACCGATACTTTAATCCGTTGTTATAATTCCATCTCCAATGCAAACATATTGCTTACAACTGGGGGATGATTTTGTTAAGGGTAGTGTACATAATAATATACACGCATTTCCTTTTTCATTTTATAATCAAACCGGCATCATTTTTTGAGATGTCAAGACAGGATCATAGCATTTGTAATGTACTATGATATTCTCGGCAAAGAAATAAAAAACAAGATTTTTTTATTCGCAGACCGTCTTTGTATAACCCAAACAAAATTTCATGACAATACAAGAACTGGTTTGGTAAAGGCGTCAAACAAGCGTGTTTCCAAAAGAAAAAACTAATTTAAATATTGTCTCAAACAATAAGCATAAGTACCACTAGCATTAGTGTGATAGCTTATTCGTCGTAGATTCAAGAGGTTTGTCGCATATTTTCAATTTCATGTGGGGAAAAGGGGATGACAATTACACAGGGTAGGAACAATCCTCAATCAAGAGTCAAGTTAAATTTCCATAAAGAGCTAACCATTGTGTGATATATAATAATTAACGTACATTCACAGTTAATCTTTGGTATGAGCTACAAAGTAAATAGGTAATGTATCAAATAGCATTTAAGAATGTGGATGTATGCACTTTAGTCCCAGTCCCGTTGTAGCTTTGGCTCTTAGGCCACGTCGCTCGCGATCTTATAGCTTTTAATTTTGTGATAACCATTAATTACTGTTTTAAGAGACTTTTCTTTTTCTCTTATTTTTTCACTTTTTGTGTGGCGGTTGTTATAACTTAAACATATAAGTACGCGGCATTCAGCGTTTTGTACAAAGTGATAAAATTAGTTAATGCAATGATCATCATTTACTTTTTGTTTTTTTCTAAAAATAGTATTTTTATAGAAATTAATGACAAAAAACTTTTTTTCATTTTGATCGTCGAATGTGTGCACCCTGCCGTATTTGTACAAACATTGAAGTCCAACCCTCCGCTGTGGAATTGCAATATTTAATGTTTTATTTTGCAATAAAAGTGGGGAATGCAGCTGTGGTGCATTAGTTATGCCGGTGATAGCTCGATAGAAAGGTCTTTTTTTGGTAACAAATAATGTTGATTGTTTTTTTTTGCATTTAATTTGTTATTACACTTTTTTCTTAATTTATTAAATTACATTAATCATCTCCAATGACGTATAACATAATTATTTTAAACTTTTTAAACTAAATGTCCTGAAAATTTAGTTTTAAGTTTGGTTCACGTATTCATGAAAGAAACTATCAAAAAATATGACTCAATGTGAGAAGTGATTATGTATTTGTTACAATATTCTTTATTTATTCCACGAAAATATTGATAAAAATAGCCCGTTACATCCCCATACAACAGCCGGGAAAGCTAAACGGCGTCATCTTTTATCACATCTGAGAGTTATCACCTCTCATTTATCATGTTTATCAATAAGCCCTCTGCTGTATCGATCCAAACGGAGAGGAAGGTACCTTTTCGATGTATGTTATTATTATTTGATGCGGTAGCGTACGGCAACGGTACGGTGTAGGGTGGGATGTTGGGGGACGTGTGCGGTGCAAACCAAGTGCCAGATAAAGCGAGTGAGTCAGCGATTTGAATCTATTTATTATTTTTATTTTATTTGCTATTTGATTGAAAACTTATATTATCGTTTATCTTAACAGTACAGAGACAGACATTTCATCGGTATATTTAAGAACATATAATTAATTGCATTTAATTTTCATTTAAAAATAATGATTTTTAAGCACATTAAATGTCTTGTAAAGCAATAAATGGATAATATTTTAACTTCTAATGTCAACAATCACGAGATACATCATACAACAATGATAGCTCTGGGCTTTTTCTAAATGAAGCTGTTTTTCAGGTAAGTATGTTTTTTTTTAATTCTAGAAAGATCTTTTAGAAATGTTTGACGTTTCGTGACGACTTTTTACGTTTTGATTTAAGTTGTCATAATATTTGTGTCTCCGTCTCCGTTATTCTCTAATAGAACAAGAGAAATAAAAAAAATCATAATAATTTGTTGCATCAAAACTGCAATTATAAGTGTACTCGTATGAAGTTTGAAAATTTACATGGAGAAAAAACATGGGAGACTGTAGGTAGGTGTTCGTTTTGAATGAGAACATGTTACCGTTGAAACAAGGCGTCAAATACACGCCAAGCCGCATACGCTGTCAACGAACCGTACGATTTACTGACGTTTTATACGCACGATACTATTTTTATGTCTTATTTATATTTAAGTAAAGTTTGTAGATATAGTTCCATGATAGGGTACTAAATTATTACAACTAAAATTCATATTTCATTAAGTGTAAGAAATTTTCTATAACAATTTCAGAAATAATGAACAATTACAAAAATTATTTTAATTTGAATTGTCAAAGATATAATACAGTTAATTTTTTCTACAGTAAATTATCTTAAGATGTGCTTTTTGGCTTCTGTAAAACAACTACCTTATAATGCTATGGAGCCAATGAAAGCAATATACCTGCTACAAAGGTAGACTACATGACACAAACTGACCATCCACACGGGAAATCAACAACGTATGTCCGTTAGTACGGCCGATGGGAGACACTTTTATACAACAAATTTGAATATTGTGTATCAATTTCTAGATTCATATTTATTAAAGTCTCGTCTAGTATTTAATTATCTCTACCTGTCAGTAAAAGTAAAGAAGACATCAAAAAAGCTTATGACTTTAAGTGTTACCATCATTTTTGATCTTTGACTTTTAAGAGACAGAACTATCAAGGGCTCATATTCTCTTTAATGAAAAAAGAAAAACTTGTTTGATCAGATCCTCGTTTAGTGAAATATTTGATTTAGTATGGACTCATAAGGACGTTTCAATTTTACGAACCGTAAGAATTATATGTATATGTTTATAATTGTCATCTTAACCTCACTGTCCCCACGAAAAGTGGCAGAGTGGCAGCTCTTTGCTTAATCCGTTATCTCCTAATTCTCTATACTTAGTCTTTGTCGAAATTGAAATCGCAGGAGACATTTCTGGGGTTTGTAGAAATAAAACAATATCGTAAAATGTAAGTTTTGTTTTCCTATTGCTCGGACATAAAGGTTGCGATTTTGACGTGAAATAAAAAAATAATAAATTTCGAAAAGCAAACATTTGGAACATAATCGTAAATTATTACTTTCTTTTATAACCTTGGGTAATGTAATGTTTTGGTATTGCATTGGCCAATTTTGAATATCAAAATAATTGATCCAAAACATCAAAAACATGTTTATATACTAATTTCGGTGCGTTCATGCCTAAAACAAAATCAAGGTGATTAAATTCAGTAGATGATAATTGTACTACATGATGACTTACTGCATTTGAAAGTTGTGACATTAAATTTAGAATATCTGGCACTGTGGATAGCCAATCGTTATGCGAGTTAAACAACGCCATAGGCAGTTTAATGTCACGTAAATGATATTTTGGTGGAGAGACTGTGCCATATTTTTTAAGATTATATGTAGATCCTAAGTCGTACATTTCAAATTGGCCGCTTTTTATTAGTTGACAAAAGTGCAGGATTGTCTTTACAGAACCTCCAGTTCTCATGTTTGTTAATATATTTTTCCTGTGCCTATTATTTTTTATTGTTTTGCCTCCATCGGTAAGCAAAAACAATGGATGCAAACATAATATCGCGTCTTCTTTGCAAAATTTCTTTCTAGCGACTCTCATGAATGAGTCGACTGGATTAAAACTACGTTCACCTAATATCTTTAATGTCGCGTTGTGATCTAAACTCTTGAATTCTGAAAGAAGGCGAAGCGGACCTTTCGCTTGCTGCATGAATACCAACGGAGCTAATAGAATGACAAAACTTAATATCGAATTATAATGGGGAGATGTTGATAGAAGAACCATTAATGCAGTAGCACCCATTGAATGAGCTACAAGAATTATTTGGCTTTTTACAGAATTTTTTTCTCTAATGTAATCTATTATAGTAGATAAGTCGTACAGCCCAATTTCATGCCATGAAAAGTCCCAGAATTCAGCAGAATGTATACTTTTACTTACATGTGCTCTAGAATACGAATTTCCTCTAACATTAGGTAACCACACATCGTATCCAGCGTTGATCAACTTGTATGGAAGAGAATGTTTTGGTCCTAGTAAAATCCAATCTATAGAGCTTCCTAGCAAGCCATGAAGTAAAATTACAGTTTTGTTATTGTTTCTTCCCGTGAATTTGGATTTTGGCATTATTCTGTGTAAAGTTAATAAGTACCCATCAGGAGTTACTACAGTATGAGTTTCTGATTTGTACCCATGAATATTTACTAAATCTAACTGAACTGATCTGTCTAACAATTTGCCACTAAGGTTATCAATCTTTTTATCTTTATTCATTGGTAACGACATTCTTCTTACTACGATAGAAGGACCCTTGCTAATTGTTCTTGGTAACCTCAAAGTAGTCAAGGTCTTTGGTATTCTTAGAGTTGTTGGGGTCTTTGGTATTTTCAGAGTCGTCGTTGTCTTTGGTACTTTCACGGTCGTTGACATTACTACCCTTGTTGGTGTCTTCATTGTTGTTCTCGTTGGCATTGTCATAAGTGTTGTTGCAGGTGTTCTTGTTGGGACTGCCTTTAGTGTTGTTCGTTTTGTTACTATTATCGGATTTGGTGACACGAAAACACCTACTCCTGGTTTCTTAACTGTTACTGGTGTTGTAATTTTTATTGGAGTAGTTGTTCCTTTCATTGTCTTTTGTGTCTTAATCGTTATTGGATTTGCTGACACGAAAACACGTCCTTTGGGTGTTTTGACTGTTGTTGGTTTTGTCAATTTTATAGTCGTAGTTGCTTTTGTTGGTGCAAAAACTGGTGTTTGTTTCGTCACTATTATTGGGTTTGCTGACACAAAAATTAGTACTGCTGGTGTTTTTGCTGTTTTTGGCTTCCATATTGTTCTCGGCGTAGTCATAATTTTTGTTGAGGTAAGATTTGGTGTTGTTGTCACAATTTTTAACTTTGGTTTGGGAGTCATCATTGTTGTTGACCTTGTCGCTGTTATTGGTTTTATCCTAGTTGGCTTTTGTACTAAACGTGGTGTTGTTTTTGCCGTTTTTATTGTTTTAGATGTAGTCACCGTTGTTGGAGTTGTCACCATTGTAGTTGTTTGCGATGTCTCTGTAAAATCTGTTGTTTCGGTTTCAGTGTATGGAGTCGTTTCTGTTTCATATGTTGAATCTTGTTCTGTTTCTGTAAATGTTATAGTTTCCATCTCGGGCGTCGTTTCTGTAGATATTTCTATCGTTTCGGTTATTTCTTCTGAACTTTCTGTCGTGTCAATAGGTAACACAGTTTCATCAGAAAAAGGAATGTAGTGCAATATTTTTTCAAGCGTTTGGTTAACAAATTCCTTATAAAAATCTCTAATTTCTTGTTTTTTTGTATTAATTTCACACGATAGGCTATTAGCTGATGCTTTTATACTATTTATTGCATTGGTTATTTCATCAGCTAGTCTACAAAGAAGATTTGTAAATATTCCCTTATCAAGGGCAGCTATTTGAGATGTTAAAATCAAAAGATGAAATAATAAGGAGAACATTACTGCTAGAGACATGATTAAGATTTGAATACAGATATTTGATTGGGTTCTTAATTAGCGTATTTTAATTTTTGTTGATACTCCACTACACAATGGAATAGTTTTAAAATAATAAAGATAGATTTATACCAAGCAATTCTTTATGTATACATTTTAAGGTCTGGTTTAAATCAATACATTAGTTAATTATCGATATCATATATTGTTGTATTAAATATCATTATCTTTATTTTTATAAAGACATCGATTGATATTGACATATCGATTAATATTATCTTGCGATATTATCAAAGTACGTATTATTTATAACAAGTAAATATTTTCGTTATTTTCTGTTTATCCAAAGAAAATATAATATTAAAGATAACCAATATTGTTATTATACATTAGAGGTTTTAGGACAGAAGAGTATTTATAAGGCCTATTATTAAAATAATAGGTATATTCGGGTTTTGGGAATTTTACGGCAACACACTTAAGATCTATATTATTTCTTCTACTTGAAAGTAACGTCGATTATACAAAGGATATTTTTATTGATTTGGTACTTTATGAATGCGTTTTTACTTTTTAAATATAAGGAGACATTAAAATTCTTATTCTTCGAAATAGTACGTAATGTTAGTATATCGCTAGAACAATTAATACAACAGAAATTAATGCAAACTGTCTTGCAAATTATTCTATTTGAATCTTTGCACTTCCTTTTCATATCGTCTTCTTCTTGGTGGGAATCATAAACAAAAAAAAGTTCGTTTCTATCTACTATTTACAAATATTTTAATTTAATTCCTCATTTCATAAATTATAATTATGTTATACTCGCAGCCGCCCGCGACTTCTAAAGCGCGCAATTAAAACAAAAAGGAGATGATAATATTCCAGCATGCATCAACCATCCCATCAAAGTCCCGTCACAATCAGTCGGGTCTTACCGGAGATTACTCGGAATAAACGTCTGGCGAACAGACTGATAGACAAAACATTTAAAAATTGCTTTTTGCGATATTACATACAAACAGTAAAATTTTATTATTATATAAAGATTGTGAATTTTATATTGGATGTATTTATTGAGCCATATTTTTGGAGTCGACATTTTCTACTTCACGCAATTTTGTTATCGTCGTGTATATTTGATTTACTTGTTCAGCAGAATAAAAGCCAGCTGTATTGTAGATATAAGCTAATTTTCTATTCAATTTTAGTGAAAATGGTTAAGGGAAAATTTATTCATAAATATGTCATGCTATTGTCTTTCGGATTCAACTTTCATAATTTTAAAAACATGCTTTATATTAGCCCTTTGCTGATCAGTTATAAGTATTATTGTTTAGAAGTAAGCTAACGTGAAGACACAGGAATAAATAGAAATAGTAAGATGTTTAAAAGTTCTAATATGAAATTCTACAGTATGTCCAGAAGTCCATGGGCGTCGATGATAATTTCGTTGTTCCAGTTGCACGATTTCAATATCTTGCAAAAAAAAACAAATCTTTCAAATTTTATTTGAATTTTTAATAGCATTTCTTTACATAGTATAAAGATCATGTTATCTAGAAATAAATAAGTCGAGCCATCATTCTTTTGACTAATCTGTAATTTAATGATTAGTCTACGGAAACTACATTTTTTGGTATTATAAATAAAACGCGTATCACTTACATATAAAAAAAGTTTATTTCTTACAATTCAACCTTCTTTTTATAATCTAAAGTGTTGTAAGTATCATGTAAACATGAAAACTCGTGTTTCGTGAACGTCTACACATTTAACGTTTGTAGAGAATTAACTAAAATCCTCAGAAATAGGTGCAACTCACTAAAACTTTTCTCATCAGACGAGAGAAGCAATAAAAAGAAAGGTATTCCTTTAACACCGATCTAATTCGTTGCGTTGTTTTAAGGGAGTCATGAAATACTTTACAACTTAGAAAAACCCAAAACATATAATTATTTTTGTCGCAAAGCAATAAAATAAAATGTTGTTACCATTATAAAATAACTAACTAAAACCCCTATTATTTTATTTTTCTATACTTCATTTAATTTAATTACACTCAAACTTAATCCATTCTCAATATAATCTATAACTTTTCTAAAAACTATAATATCTGCTTTCGGTCCCCAAACAAACTCAGTATGGCTGAAATTATCATTGCGTATCACAAAGTGATCTATCGGATTTGAAAGTCCAAAGTACAATTTTTTTACGTCTGGTAAAGGCGCCAACCAATCATCACTGGAACTTATCAACGCAATAGGCAGACTAATCCTATTCAATGGAAACTCTGTTATAACATCGCCAAATTTATGAAACTTGCCGTTTCTCGTTAATTGTGCATAATGTGAAATTGTATAAGTCGAAGTTCCTGCTGGTACATGATTTAATACTCTTGTCAATAGATTTTCGTCCCATAAATGTCCTTGAAGTATATCGCCCGCAAGAAAAAATAGTGGATTTCTACAAAGTACTTGAGGTCTCGCGCAGTGTCTTGATGACAACCATTCAGGGGTTACTTTTGAAGGCATAAATTCACCTGTACTCATTACTTGTTGAAGCAGAGGCGGCTGTGGCGCAAAGGAACCAAACATTCTCAGCGGTCCTTTGCTATTTACCATGAAGGCTAAAGGCGCTATCAATATTCCTATTCTGATAAATGTATTAAAAATTGGAGACGTTGACAACAAGACAAGTAAAGCAGTAGCACCCATAGAGTGTCCAACAAAACTTATAGGATCGCTAGTATTTTTAACTAATCTAATGTAATGAATAATTGCTGGTAAATCGTATTGGCCCATTTCTTGCCATGAAAATTTCCAAAAGTCTGAATTGTTAATACTCTTCGACACATGACCTCTGGAGTAAACGTTTCCTCTGGCATTTGCTAGCCATACGTCGTATCCAAGATTAGATAGTAAATATGGTAATGATTTCTTTGCACCGAGTAAAACCCAATCTGCAGAACTACCAAGTAAACCATGATGGAGTAGCACTGTATTATTCTTCACATCAGCAGTTCTTTTTAAACGAGATGCTACTATGCGATGTAGAGTTAAAAGGTAACCGTCTTCTGTTAAAACAATGTGCGATTCGGCTCTTCTTCCATGCAGTGTAATAAGTTGAGGAGTATCCATCGACGACATTGGATCAGTTCTTACTTTATAATGGAGAGTCTTGGTTGTGTAAGCGCTAACCGGTGGCGCTTGCTTGGCAGTACGCTTCAGCGGCTTCGTAGTTTTTGTATATTTTGCAGTTGCATCTCTCCAGAAATACGTTTTTCTTGGAAGCGTTGTTATACCTTTCTTTACAGTCGCGTGATTTTGAAAAAAGTTTGAAAGTCTATCTCCAACATTTCTTATCGTATCCAATAAAGTATAAGCAAAATCTCCCATTTTCTCTGAAACGAATCGCAGAAAACCTTTTGCACAAACACTTTTATGATAAGAAATGAAAATAATAGAAAATATTAAAATAGTCCTCATGGTCCGGTCTGTACACGATCATGAGCACTAGCTGTTAGACATGAACTAGTAGGAGTTTGTTTTACTTTGGTTATAACGTAATCTAGTTAATAGTCGTAATGTATATGTTAGGATAGAGAACAATGGTAATACATCAATTGTCACATTCACACAAATGACGCTGCGACTGTCCGCAACCACATTGTGTCTGAAGTGAAATGTTTCATAACACTTTCAGTCGCCCAACTACTCTATTACAAATAACATTTCTAGGTTAGACTTTGTAATACCATGCCCGTAGATTAGTATTAGTAAAAACTATTATTATACTTGTACTCACACAGGAAAAAATTGAAAGTAAACGATTTTTTTTTCATTAATCAAATAACATTTTCGTTTCTTCATTTGGATGTTAAGATTAACCATAACCGTGTAATTTTTTTTGGAAAAAAAATGTAAAACATCTTAAAATTCTAAAAAAAATGTATTTGAAAATATTATACAAATGTATAATAATAAAACAGAAATAATTTTCATACGAATTTACGGTAAATTTAATTTACCGAAGTGAAGAAGTTTGTTACACTCCTCCCACTTTGGGAGAAGTTTCTTTCTTAACGACGTAAACAATTTAAATCTAATGCAATATGCAAACCGCGCCGAACCCCCCGCACCCGCCGCGCCCTTGCACCCCTCGTGTATCCCGCGCCCCTCGTGTCCCCCGCGGCAGGCTCTCTACCTGTGCCCTAATAAAAATTCACCCTAATTTCGAGTTTTGATACTTCGGCAGGTGTCTCATAATGGTATACGATATATAAATAATTAATATACTTATTATTACGGAATTATATAGTAACACATCTCGTCGAACTCTACTATCGTACTATTTTTATTTTCTTTTTAATGTTTGTTCTGTTCTAAATTCAAAAGATTCATTATTTTTTTTAATCAAAAAATTTTTATAACTGGACAGTAGGTATTCAAACAATAATGCAAAAATGCACAGTTAGTAATCTATAGTTATTCTATATTATTATAAGTAAATAACAAATTTAACAAAGTGCGCAGGCATTAGTTTCTTGTCTCATATAACAGGAGAGAAATAAACCAGATCTGTTCCAAATTTGAACTCATAGAAAATGCAGTAACACACCTTCCCCCATCTATTTGCTCCCCCGTTTATACCCCCATTTATAAATGATTCCGTCTCAATTTCGCCAGTTCACGTCTACTTCTATATTGTTTGACTTGTACACTTAACGGACTTTGATATGTTTTGACTTTAACTCTATAATAACAAAAATAATCGTCAATGGTAATCTTACTAGTACATGTTTTCGTTATTAATGCGAATGTTTGTATGAATGGATGGATGAATGAATATTTGTTTAAAGGTATCTCCAGAACGGCTCAACGGATCTCGCTGATATTTGGCACAGATGTAAAACATAGTCTGGAAGAACACATGGGCTTACTAAGTTATTTTTTTAATTCTGAGCGGCCGGAGACGCGGGCGAAAGCTAGTTAATTACAAAAGATTCAGTTGAAACT